GAGAATTATGATTAAAAAGAAAGTTTTGCTAATATAGTCTATAGAAACGCAAAAATGGGAATGCTGGCCAAGAATCTTTTCATCTCATCTACATAAATAAGAAATATACTTTATTTTAAAGTATATATCATAGAAATATTTATTACTTACTATAGTGCTATATACTTTAGATTTATATTGAGTCAAATCATATAACATGTACTTTGTATGCAAAGTAATGTGAATACCTCAGTATAACTGGAGAAGCCTTTAACTTTGATCCTTACACACCCATATGCACAAACACACTGAAGTTATTGAGTTCTACCATGTTCTATATGGGTATACATGAGAGTAAATAATGCAAACTCCTGTTTCAAAGCACATACAACTAATTCTCACACATTGGTTTTATATTTACTTTTATATTTTTAATTAGATACTGTTATTATTTGATTTGCTTTTTAAGGAGACACTTACATAGAAGAGTGACAGCAGCTGGACCAAATGTTTCACTGCTGAACTGGTTCCTCAGGTATCCTGTCTTGGGTGATTGCTATGGGAGATTGGATGACTGTTACAGATCCAGGTCTGTCTTCAGGTAACTGAGTTTAAAATAATTGTAAGCCAATGCAGTAATTGTAAAGGTGAAATTTTCAATGAAACTGTAAAATAATTACCACAAATATTGAAGGTGTGAATAGAGACATAAATAGTTGTAAACTAATTTCCATCTTCAGTAAGTTATCAGGGAGAGCTAAGAATTGTACCATAATTAGTAGGGGTCAATGCTTTGGATGGATAATAGATTACTTGATTGTTGCTATTTTTGAGGAAATTTTTATGCATTTGAAATAAATTCATCGGCTACTTCAGTACATTTCTCTGATTCCTTTAATCACAGAAATTTTGAATGCATAGACAAGTGATTTTTGTCTTTACGCTTATAAATCTAAAGCACTGTAAATTAAGGTAGCATGTTGTAGTTTAGCATGCCTACTAAGAGCACCACTTTATAGTCGTATCTTTTTGGAAAAAAGTATATAGTTTTCATACAAAAACCAGCTTTGCCTTAATTTGAAAATATTTAAAATATTTATACAAGTCAAAATCTTTGGTGATAGGGATTGTTACCTTTACATGCATTTTAATAAGTTATTTAACTTATTAAACACCTTTTATTGATTCTTTCAGAAAGCAAAAATATATCTCAGTATACCTCAGAAACAAAGATGTCTCCATCAAGTTTATACTCACAGCAAGTGCTATGTTCTTCAATACCTTTATCAAAAAATGTGCACAGTTTTTTCAGTGCCTTCTGCACAGAAGAGAACATTGAACAAAGTATTTCATATCTTGATCAGGTAACATGTTTTTTCTTTTGTAAGGAGCAATAGCATAAATTATGTTATATAATAGCACATATTAAAATTATGAGAAAAACGCCTGTCAGGCACAAGTATATTGTTGCATATTGGTCCAGGACTCATATTAGATTGGCAGAGAACCTTAGTGACCACCTATCTAGATACAAAGTAACAGTTTTTGTCTGGAACAGGCTGACCTCCTGTCACCCCAGGGGCTCCTCCACTGGGAGTCTCACCCTTATTTTACTGATATAGAAACGCAAGTTCCTTTCTGTAAGTGATTGCAGAGCAGTGGCGAAAAGAGCCGAGTTCTCTCAATTCTTTGTCCTTTAGGATATTTACTATTTTCATAACTATCTTAAGGTAGTTTTCTTTCTTTCTCAGAAAAGATTTCTATCTTTTGTTTCTTTACTAATTTGTTTGGTAACCAACTTTTAGGAAAACGTTTTTTCCTACCAGGAATTGACTACTTTCGGTTTTCCTTCATTATATGAAGAATCCAAAGGTAAAGAGACAAAGAGAGAATTAAATATAGTTGCTGTTTTAAATTGTATGAATGAGCTACTTGTACTTCAGCGGAAGAACCTTCTAGCTCAGGAAAATGTGGAAACGCAGAATCTGAAACTGGGAAGTGATATGGACCATCTACAGAACTGCTATGCAAAACTTAAGGTAGAAACTACATGTTAATCTGTATTTCAGTGCAATTATTATATAATTTGATACTGTAAATTTTCATTGGCTTTATCAAGTTTGGGGGTTAATTTTTTTAAGTTTTAGGGTTTTTTTTAAACAGTAAGTAAAAGTAAACTTAAAGTAGTTTGTGCAATCTGTCATACTCCTTCCTAATATCTATATTGATGACATTGATTTTATGAACTGTTTAGTGACTTGCTGAATCTATAGAAAGTTATGTTAGGAAATATTTATATCTGAAGAAAATAAATAAGGATTCCCTTGTCCCATTCAAACTTGCTTAAAAAGTAGATGCTTAATTTAAAGAAGTCTTATTGTGAGAGACTGGATCAGTTAATTCCAAGAAAAATATTCTTGAAGGCATCTATGCCAAAATTTGTTAAAGCTCGATAATGAAAGCAGGCTAGATAACTTTTAACTCTTAGAAGTCCCTGGGGCTCTAGAGAAGACCGTAGAAAAATGCTTTTGCAAAATTGCTGATTTCTCGGAATAAAGGAAGTATTTTTCACAGGGCCATTAACCTGCCACCTTAAAATATAGAACATTTGTTGCTGGCTTCTGTTTTGCTTTTATTCTTTTCTTTCTTTTATGTTTTCTTTTGTTTGAGAAGGAGAGGGAAGGAGGTGTTCAAAATCACATATAGTAGGGACTTATGATTGTATATTATGAAGGATGTAATATAATCAGTCTAAGGCAAATATGTTTTGAAAGATACTGTTCTATTTTGGGTTTTCTTATTTGTGAAAAGAAAAGCTTTTGAATATGAATACTCCTGGAAGATCAGCTTCCTTTTAGTTTTTTATTTCTTGGTCCATGCCTCTCTACTTATTTTTCTTCCTCTATATCCCCTCCCCACCCACACCCTCCAAGAACAGTTAACAACAATTAGAAAAAGAAACTACTCAGTATCTTGAATCTCTGAGCTCCATTGGAGAATAATAGGATCTCTGTATGTAATATTTGAAAATCGGTTAGTAGGGAGTATATAATAAAGAATGGCCTGGAGTTGGCCTATATGTGAACACTGGGAATGTTTGGGAATTGATTTATAGAAGCATCTTAGCTATTCAGCAACACCTGTCCATACCAGCCCATCATTGCCTAATGCTATTTTGTATTGTCTTCTTAGCTTGTATACAGTGATAACAGTATGTTTTCACTTTAATAATATTTTTAAGTTTTTGTACATCTTATATGCCTAAGAGATAGAGATTATCCAAATATATCTTGTCAGACTGGGGAACTATGGTGGGCTGGAGGTGGTAGATGGTACCCTCCAGGTTTATTAAAAGGCTATGAGTTGTGGATACTACTTTAATCTTAATCAGAAACTTATAGAAGGTCTTATGAATTAGACTGACCCAGAGTCATAAACCCTAGACTAAAGTTTAAAACTTTTTATATCTGGGCACCCCTAGCCAAGTGTCTTGTAAGTAGCTAGTGAATAATTACATAATGGTGCTGGTAATTTAGGGCTGTTGAGCTTTTCCTCTAAGAAGTGATCATTTATTAGGACAACCCAGGACATAAAAGTATTTTCCAGAATACCTTCTAATTTGGGACTTGACCTCAGTCAAAATCAGATATTTTGGGTCAGCTGTAGGCAGAGATGTATATGCAATGAGAAAAGTTGCTGATCTATCCTTGAAGAGTTTCTAGATCTAGCATATGAATCAGCATATGAATCATTTAATTTGTTGAGCAAAATGTATTGAGTATTTAGGTAATAGGCACTGGGTTTCAAAGATGAGTGAAAGCCAGTCTTGCTTGCAAGGAGATTGTAGTCCAGTGGAAAAGAGACACATTGAACCATAATTATTTGCTTCACTAATCTTTTTTTTGATGTGGGTGGTAAGAAAAGTCTTCACAGACAGGTAACACTTGATCTGAGATTGGAGGAATGGATAGAAATTCGCTAGTGTTTGGAAAAGACATTCTAGGTGGAGTATATAACCTGTATAAAAGCATAGAGATATGAGAGAGCATTTTACTTTCAGGGAACAGCAAATAGCTCTGTAGGGACTGAAGTATGTGATGCATCATGAAGAGTGGTAAGTGGTGAGACTGGGACCTGGGATCCCGGCCCAAGATAATATGAAATGTATTCTGCAGAAACCCAGAGGCACCGAGGAATATAAACGAGAGGAAAGCATCATGTAAATATAAATCTGGCAATAAAGCAAAGATTATAGGGGGAGGTGCAGATTTGTATTTGGGGTAGAGGTAGAGAGCTCAGAAAGCCTGGCGAAAAGTACGGCTGTTAGCAGGCTTTAGCAGTCACCCGGGCCGGGGGGATTTTGGACTTGACCTCAGTGGAGATAGGAAGAGTAAGACAGGACGAAAACTAAGGTGATAGAATGGGTAAAATTTAATGAACAATTGAATTTGAGGAATAAGATAAAGTCGTGAATTTAAGGTACTATTCAGGTCTCTGATTACTGAGGATGGTGGCATGATTCACTGAGATAAGAAATGTAGGAAGGAGGTGTACAGATTTTCAGGGATGATGCGTTCAGGTGAAGTGTTGATAATGACCCAGTGAATCTCTGATAGTATATAGGACATATCAGCTGGCCCCAGTGCCTTTTAGTTCAGCCATGTGAAATAGTCTGGCATGATAGGAAGTTTTAAACACTCCAAGGAAGAGGAAGACAAAAATTCTTGACAATCTTAAAGTCATGCAAGTTATATTCCTAAATTTCTGTATCTTGAGATCCATTGTTAATAGAGATTGTGTAAGTTGTTGTTTGTGGTCAGCTATCACATAACTTGAGTGACTTTTATATTTTATAAAGATAAAGAGGATTTAAAAAAAAATACTCCAGTGGCTTCATGCAGAACTTGGCACAGTTCCCCTGGAAATGTGCGGAATGAGTTGAAAGCTAGCATCTTATCCCTTACCAATTCCAGCAATGCTGACATTCCTCTCTGGGAAAAGTTTTCAGAGAGTTTACCACCTGCAAGGGAGAACTGGTATCTTGCTGTAGTCCCATCTTTTCTGACCTGAAGTGTTCTAGTTTGCTTGGTCACTGGTCTTCTTCAGACTTAGCTTTGAATCACTTTTGGCTCTTTCTCAAAGAGTGTGCTAGTATTAAAAAGAAAAATTTTTAAATGTTTGGCAACAACAGCACTGGAATAAGTAAAGACCTTTTCAAGGATCCAGTTTGAACCTCTTTGATATATACATAAAAATTTTGATATGTAAATTAAATAAAATTTAATATTTAAATTTAAATAAATTGTATAATTTATAGTATAGAGCTTTATAAGTGCTTTAAAAAAATTTTGTATACCTCTAAACTTTAAATTTAGCTCATAAAGCCTACTATGTGTAACTCGTTTTTACCAATCTTTTAAGAAATCATTTGCTATGAATCCTATGTTAACTCTAATCAAAATTGCATATGAATGTTTTAGGAACAACTGGAAACCTCCAGGAGAGAAATGATTGGCCTTCAGGAAAGAGACAGACAGTTACAGTGCAAGAACAGGAATTTGCATCAGTTACTGAAAAATGAGAAAGATGAGGTAAGTTGTCAGTTATTGCAGATAAAGTATAAGAGAATTTTTAAAAATAATTTGTGGTGACCATGAGAGCCACTTAAAAGCAAGAAAGAACAATTTATTCATCCTCTGTCAAATTGGTATGGCGGACCTCTTAGTACAATATTGTATCATATTGAACTGAGAGGTCAGGAACCCTTCACACAATCTCGTTTCCTGGGTGGATCCATTTAACTTAGTATTTTAGTCCATAGCTTGTGACAGCCAGTGTCCTATACCATCCACCTCAGATGCACATGTACAGGGATGCTTTAAATGCAGTTCTTTTATTTTCTGCCATACCTATACTTAATATCTGGCATGCCTCTTCTTGCTGTCTTAAATATTGACATTATTCATCCATTCAAGCAATTTAATTGACTAAATGGGCACAAGTTATTGTTAAAAAAAAAATTCACATTAAAAATCTCACTTCTGTGGCTAAAAACAAGTCTAATCTCATTTCTGCATTAGTGGTTACTTAGTATTTGGGCTTATAAAGTTAATGCATTTGAAATTATTATTTTTTAATTTATGTGAGAAGAAACCGTGTTTTTATTGCACTGTGGTTTGATCCTTGACCACGTGATAACTAAAAATATAATACTTTCAATGTTTTATATGTTGTTTTAACTACAATTAAAGACTTTTAAGGGAGCATATTTCTTTAAGGACCTTGTAGTGATTTGGTTATTTAGTAGTATATTTAGTAAGTGGTTAATATCTTAACAAAACCACAAGGTTGCTTATACGTTCTACCATATTTGGTTATTTAGTAGTATATTTAGTAAGTGGTTAATATCTTAACAAAACCGCAAGGTTGCTTATACGTTTCCTTGCGATATTTCTCAGAAAATTTTGATTTGATCTGTTGATTACACTTAAATGCTTTGAAAATAGTTCATCTGTAATAAGAATTAAGTTAAATATGGGCATGTCTAGCAGATATTAAGAATGTGTGTATAGAATAGAACATACTTCTTATCAAGGGCTGCCTGAGAAGCCATAGTAGAAATGAACATCGACAAATACAAGGAAGTCACTATAAATAATCATATGAATTCTCCTTGTTTCAAGTGAAGCTTTAATCACTTTAACACTTCCATAAGTTTCTGGCTTCTAAATGACCAAGAGTCAGTATGTAGGGTGAAAAATGTAGAAGATAATTTAGAAAATTAGCAACACTGAAGATTACAGAATTAAACAATAAAAACCCAATGTGATTCATTTAAGTTATTTGTTAAAGGGTGATTTCTAGTGGTTATGGAGAAGAAAGAATAATCCTAGAATTTTAAAACTATTACATGGGGAAGTGAATACTAGGACTTTTCTCTTTTGAATTTGTGAATTTTAACTGAGTTTATCAATCCTAAAGGGATCCATTTGATAGGAATTCTTTTTTCAGGTACAGAAATTACAAAATATCATTGCAAGTCGAGCTACTCAATATAATCATGATATGAAGAGAAAAGAACGTGAATATAATAAACTAAAGGAACGACTACATCAACTTGTTATGAACAAGAAGGATAAAAAAATAGGTAAGCAGCTGGCTAAGATAGAGCAAAGGAAATAAATAACTAATATTATGCTAAGCAATAAATGTAAAAGAATTGAGCACTATAATGCCTGCAGGGTTATTTTCATGCTTTATACAGTTGTTCTTAGATGGTATATATCGATATAAACTAGGAATTGAAACAGCTGGTTAGTAAAAAATAGTAATTTTGCTTTGCTTATTAGTTGTATATAAAAAATTGTATTTTTTTCTTAACATGACAGGTATAAGATTAATCCATAGAGAGAAACTAAGCCAGAGGACATGCTAATTTTCTACAGCAAAGAACTGATAATGTTAAAAATCAGGACCAGTTTCTGAGTATCAATAGAAGGGTGATTTTAGAGTTAACTTCAGAAAATTGTTTATCAGACCAATCATTTATGTCAGTTTCAGTTCCTTTAATAACTTTAGCTGTGTATTTTTGAAGCAGGTGGTCGAAAGGATGGACTATGTAAGTTAAGTTTATATTTGTCTCTAAGGTATACTTTTTTCTAGTATTTTTTTGAAAATTAATTTACAACTTCATCCAAGTCCATGCATAATTTCAAGTAAATAGCATAGATTTAGGTTAAGAAGTAGAACTACCCACACACCAAAGTAGAGTTATAACCAATAGTTTTCCTAGCCTGATAAGATTGGGAGAACATGGCGAATCTGTGCATTTATTTATTGAAGCATGGTTTCCAAGTGGACGATAGGCTGTCCTGTAACCTACTTTATACAGTCATACCCCTAAACTGCCTTTCCTGAACTGAGCTTGGACTTGCATACAACAGCTGATAAGCAGATGTTTCAGGCTTTTATATGGTGGGCTCTGTCTGCTACCAGCATGCAGTTCAGTGTTGACTGCATCACTGTCATTCTGTACAGCAGAGATGTTGCAATTATTTAGATATTTTACTTCAAAAGTTATTGAAAAATATAAGTAATAAGCAATTAAGACAAGGTTGAAAATCTTTAGGTATTGAGGTAACAAATCTTAAACTGCACTTAGACGCTCATTGGTTTTTAAGATTGGTTAACCTTGTGTTCATTTATGAAGGAAATAAAAGATTGAAATGCTCGAAGTGTAAAATATATCACCTAGTTAGAGAAGTTCATTAAAAATTTTACTCTGGTAACAGAGCCCTTGTTTTATGGGGAGGGGATCTGGCTGTTTCCTGGTCCAAACCCCAGTTGGAAATGACAGTTTAATAATGATTTTATCAGCTTTAAAATTACAATAACTTACTCTTAATTTATATTCTTCTGATGCCAACTGCTTCCTTCTCCACCTGGGGCAAAAGATGCGTTTACTGTCAGGGGCCTTGACTTATTTACTGATGGTGACAATACAGGGCTTGGCCAACTTTTTCTGTAAAGATCCAAATATTTTCGGGTTTGTGGAGATCTATGGTCTCTTGTCAGAACTATTCATCTCTGCCATTATAGTGCAAAAGTAGCTGTTGACAATATATAAACAAATAATGGTGTGACTGTGTTCTAACAAGACTCTTTACAAAATCAGGCAGCTGGCCCACCTGCCTTAGTTTGCCAGCCCCTGATGATAAAATTAATAATAATAATAACAAAATAACAATTAGTTATTTACTGTGTTAAGTGCTTTAACATTTCTTTTGTTCTTCACAATCCTTTGGTAGATACTTTACTACGATTGTATCAATGAAGAAACAGGCTTAGAAGTTAAATAACTTGCCAAGATCTCAGTGCTTATAAATGACAGAACTCTATAACTTGAAATCTGGGCTGTTTGAGCCCAAATCCTAATCTATATACTAGATTGATTTATGACCCTGATATGTTATAGAGTATTAGAGTTTTAAACACTTAAACATGTATGGTAACAATTGGTTTTGTTTTATGTGTTCATGTTTGCAGCCATGGAAATTTTAAATTATGTGGGGAGAGCTGATGGAAAAAGAGGCTCTTGGAGGACTGGTAAAAGTGAAGCCAGGTGGGGTTCGATTTAAATCAATAAATTTAATCAGACTTTTCTTTGTAGACTGTATTTTCATACTGACAGTTTCTTTCTCAGGAATGAAGATGAAATGTATAAAATTCTCTTGAATGATTATGAATATCGTCAGAAACAAATCCTGATGGAAAATGCTGAACTTAAGAAGGTTCTTCAGCAAATGAAAAAGGAAATGATTTCTCTTCTTTCTCCCCAAAAGCAGAAACCTAGAGAAAGAGCAGATGATAGTACAGGAACTGTAAGTGGCTCTTTCCTCTCTAATACAGTCTTCAGATTGCTAATTAGAACAGTTGAAACACTAGATAGGTATTCTCAATGGGGACAGTATTGGTATTTTGGACAGCACACTCACTGCTATGCTACTCCCAGCCACTGAGACCACCAGAAATGCCCTGGGAAAGGGAGGTGATTTTCTGAGGACTTAATCTGTGCCAGACACTGTGATAAGCACTTTTTATAAGCATTATGTCATTTCATTCTTAATATAATTTGATGCTTTTGATACTGTAATTATCCCCGTTTTATAAAATGAACGTACCCGAGGCACAGTAGTTAGCCCAGTATCATATGACAGAACTGGGATTGGAGTCCAAGTCGTTCTTACTCCAGAGTTCATGCTTTTAACCACTGTGCCAAATATTCTTTAAATATTTTAAGTATCATGTACTTAAGCAGGCCCTTGAAACTTTTGTTAACTTTAGGACCCAAATAATCATTCAGCCCATAAATTTATTAAGTGTACATTATGTTCTGTTCCCTGGAAAGAAAAAGCTAAAAAAATTTTGACTTTTTTCCTTGTTGTTGTTCGGGCTGCTATAACAAAGTACCGTCAACTGGGTGGTTTATAAACAACAGAAATTTATTTTTCTCAGTTCTGGATTCTGGAAGTCAAAAATCAAGGTGTCAGCAGATTCGGTGTCCAGTGCAGGCCCTCTTCTTGGTTGCAGATTGCTGACTTTTTGTTGTATTCTGACAGGGCAGAAAGAGGGCCAGAGAGCTCGCTGTATAGGGGCATTCATCCTGTTCATGAGGGCTCCACTCATGACCTAATCACCTCCCAAAGGTCCTAATACCATCACATGGGGGATTAGGATTTCAACATAGAATTCTGAAGGAACATAACATTCAGTCCACTGCATCCCTCAAGAAGCTGTTTTGGAGAGTGATACCTATGTAGAGAAGTAATAATTTCTTCTGTAATTATTATAGAGCTATAATAGGGTGATATAATGTATAAAACAAAACAATTATGGCAATCAAAGAAGGCATCATACAACATTTGAGTTTGCTCTTAAAAAATAAGTGTTTTTGAGGTAAAAAGCACGAGAAAGCACTTGACAGAGGGAATAATAGGTGCAGTTCTGAGAAAACAAGTTACATAATGGTGAACAGTTCTTCTAACTTAATTTCTTTACATATAAGTTTAAATTCTGGGTTCAAGCAAGTTCACATTTGTAACTAAAATCCGAACATAACAGTGTTGATGGAAAATGCTACAGCAAGCCACCAGAACTTGTTTTTTAAACCTGTATTTAAGGATTACAGGTATTCCTCCCTTTTTGAAAGTTCATGTTATACTTCTTCACTTTTATGAAATACATACATTAGTACCTGTTTTCACTAACCAAAAGAAATCCAAAGAGGATTTTCATTTGGTAATTGCTTCTTTCACATTAAGCCTCTCAGTTTATGAAAGGTTTTATAGGAACGCTCTACATTCAGTTAGTGGGGGAAATGTGTTTATTTTGTGATATCATAGATCAGTCCAACTGAGAAGCCCATCCCACTGCTTACCATTTTTTTCCTCTTCTTTAAAAAAAAAAATTACTCGAATGTTCTTTTAAATTCTACAATTTGTGGCCTGCTTGATATCTTACATTTAGATAAGTGTTTCTCTCAAAGTCTATCACTCCTGGTCAGTCCTTAACATTCACTAATGCCTCTCCAGGGCTAGCATGGTTTCTCTTACTCTTGTGGTTTCTTCAGTTTTGGCCCAACCTTTACTAACCTCTCATACCAGCTTTTAGTCCCCCAAAATAGGTAGAATCGAGGAGCTTGTTCTCCGATAATTAAAATCCCTTTTTCCCCCATCACTTGGCAAGTGGGTGGTTTCCTATATAATTCTTCATAATTCAAATGTTTAGGTTTGAGAAACAATCTCTTAAGTATATTTTCTGTTTTTAAGAGCTCTGTTTTTCTAGATTTTTTTCTTAAATTTAACTAATTCAACTGTTTCTTTTAAGAAAAAATTTGGGAACTTTATAGCAAGAGGAATAGGATGTAATCTTGGAATGCCTGGGTAGCATCCAAGTTTCATTTATTATTTTTGCTTACTTAATTGTAGCCAAAACATAGACTCAAAATTCAAGTTAAATGAATTTATTTTATTTTATTTTTTTGTGGTTTAGAGTTTCATTCAGTCTGGAAATGTGCAGTAGTTTTCTTCATTTTTAAAAAATAATGGATTGGTGGTGTTTTTAAAACAGGAGAAGCTGTAGTTGCTTGGAAGAGTTACTGGCAAATAATTCTAGAAGATTGATTGGCAAGAACCATGGTCACAATGAGTCATACCCTGGGCCTTTTTTCCTACTCACTCAGCCTGGGAGACCTTGACCTCTACCAGCCCATCGCTGACCTCAGTTTATTGATATAGTTCTTTAGACTCAGGACCATTTTATGTAGATGCAGATTATTATGACATTAGTTTCAGTATTGTTTGCATGTGTTCTTTATCCTGCTTTGATTCTTTATGCTGATGTTTACTACATTTTCCTATGATTTAATGTCTTGGTAGAATACAAAGAAAAATAATCTCCAGTTTTAGTTTAAAAAATATATGAGAAAAGTAGGATTCACAGTTGTTTTTACGTTGGAGATTATTTCATAGATTTATTTAAGCAGCCTAAGATTGGAGACAAGTTACTCTAACTTCATCTCAGTTTTACCTCGTGGCTGTGTGACATTGGGCAAATTACTCTAATTCTCCAAGCCTCAGTTTCTCTATATTGTAACATGATTTGAGGATTAATTAACATATGAAAGCATTTAACATATTAGACAGGCGTGAGTAACAACTCCTTACACAGCTTCATAACTCTTATTGGTATCTATATTTGGATTCAAATTCAGGTTTGAAGAGACCTGAATTGTGGAATTTCTACCTTCAATATTAATTACTTTTTCTGAAGATATTTATGTTAAGTACTGGGTCATATATGTTTAAGATACAGCACAGAAATTATTTTGATAAAATCTGACAGTCTGATTACTACCGCCTGAGTATCTAAAGCCATTTTAAGATACTGGTCTTTCTTTTTCTTCTCTCGTAGATTATCTCTGATGTTGAAGAAGATACTGGAGAACTGAGCAGAGAGAGTATGTGGGACCTTTCCTGTGAAACTGTGAGAGAGCAGCTTACAAACAGCATCAGAAAACAGTGGAGAATTTTGAAAAGTCATGTAGAAAAACTTGATAACCAAGGTAACAACTGCCTAAATGTGTGCAGAATTGAGTTGTGACACTAAGTAAACTTAATTTTCAGTCACTTAAAAAGCCACATTATGAGCTCAGACCTGAAGCACTTTAGGTTTGGTGGTTCGAAAAGCAAGACTGCCTACTTCTAGACACGACGTGTGAACCTTACTGAGAAAGTGCACTTGACTCTCAGAGTGAATCTTTCTCTGAAAAGAGGACATCGTGATCCATCTGCTCTGAGTGCAGTATACAACTGGAGTGAACTAGGTCTAGTAAATCAAGAACTTCTAATCATAATGTAGTATACATATGAACCTTCTACTTGATATTTCTATATACGTGCATTTTGCTAGGTTCCTAATAATCCATTTTTAAATTATTTTCAAAATAATAGATGTTTAGTGTTTTTGTATCAATTAGGTACATAAAAGTAGAATATTCTGGTCTTCTTTTCTTGTATGTAATACTTAACAGTTGGTGCATACCTTTCTAGATTTTCCCTTTGCATTTTTAAAGTATTTAAAAATATATAAAAATAACAAAAATTGAATATTACATATTTTTTCTGCACTGTACTTTTTTCAATTAAGTGTACTATTTTAGACACTTTTTCCTGTCATTATAAATAGGATTGATAGATCTACATTGATGAATATATCCTTAATATTTTGTATTTGTTAAAGTTTATATGCTTTTAAATCAAGAAAATTAAGTTTCTGCTCAGTACGAGAAGTCTATTTTTTAAAAAATTATACTAAGTTGTCAAAAATGACAAATTCGATGTCAATTGTCTTCAGTAGTAAAGAGCAATCAGCAAAACTATTATAGTACCAAACTTAATTTACATAAGATTTTATTGATTTCAGTCATCTTGTCTATTAGAAATAGCAAGTATGTTTGAACTTTATATTAGTTGAATTTAATACCAAAGAGCAAGAAGGTAGCACTGTACTGATCTTTGAAGTGTCAGAAGAACATAGTTTATGACTGTTAATTATTCTTCTGTGAATATAGGTTATTCATTTTACATTAGGACATAATCTTGAATAAATATGGATTTACAAATTAAATGTTGGCAATAGAGCTCTGTTTGCAAAGATATCATTTAGTCCAAAAAGAGTACTGATTTATAGTTGTCATGAGCTTTGCTTTTAAAATTTTTTCAAGTGTTAAAATATTATAAATTTCATTTTATAGCTTATGAATTTTTTAAAGAGCAAAGGAAATAACTACCTTTTAGAAAACCTATGATATTTCAGAAAGAGAAAAGTTCTGAAAGCCTTGATTTTTAAATATATGTCCAAAAAAACACCATAAACTAGATGATGACTGTAAAACCTATGCCAAAATACTGGTTTTGTGTTAGTTTCAAAGGTACACATAGAAGGTTTTAATGATGAAGATGTAATCTCACGACAAGACCATGAACAGGAAACTGAAAAACTTGAATTAGAAATTCAGCAGTGTAAAGAAATGATTAAAACTCAGCAGCAACTTTTACAGGTAAATGTGAGTTACCTTTTAAAACTGTTGTCCCCTGAGGAAGACCAGAAAAAGTTACTGAATCTTACTAGATGTTTATTCTTTTCTTTTTTTCCCACAAAATCTACAGTATTTGAAATTTTTCTGATCTAAACTATTCATTCCTTAGTCAGTGCTTTGCCTGTTGTAGTAGAAGCATTTGGGAAATGAGTCTCCTCAGTTGACTTTCTGATTCTTCATCATTTCTGTCCATCCCCTAAAGTTTGACCCGGCTTCCCTTGTTTTCATTTCAATTTGTTGGAGTGTTGTAGGGACCCTTGGAACTTACTGTATTTTAAAATCTGATAGCAGCAGCTTGCTACTGCATGTGATGATGATACCACTTCACTACTACGAGACTGTTATTTGTTGGAAGAAAAGGAACGTCTCAAAGAAGAGTGGTCCCTATTTAAAGAGCAAAAAAAGAATTTTGAGAAAGAAAGACGAAGCTTTACGGAAGCTGCCATTCGCCTAGGATTGGAGGTATTTTAAATAATTAGCTTTCCCTGTAGAGCTTTTGAAAGTTGTGGGAAGGCCTCAATAGAATGCATCTAAGTTCTGTTTCTTTGCTATCCAGTTTTGTTTTTTTTCCCCTAAAATACTTTACCAGTGATCTCATAAATGAAATTAAAGGGACACTGAACTAAGCATGTGAACTATAGAAGGATATCTTTTTGCCTTTACCAAATTTGGGAATTGGAAAACAAAAACAAAAACTAAGCTTTCATTGTCTCTTTTAGATTTGCTTTCTACTGTTAAGTGTTTAGCTTCACATGAGAGATCTCTTGAGCATCTGTCATCTATCCATTGTCAGTATGTGTAGAGTTTGTTTGTTTTTTAAAGGGAAATACAGATTAAAAATACAGTTCTCCCTCTCTTCAAGAGGGAAGCCCCTCACTCAAGAATATATGTGCCTTAACAGTTAAGTTGGATTGTTGTCTATACGCATCCACAGCTTGCTTTTCTTTACTTCGCAATGTATTACCTACATGTTTCCCTTTCAAAAATTAGAGAAATGATGTCAAAACATAGTTAAAAAAAATAAACTCAGCCCATACAAAAAGCTACAAAGGGAGACAATATCCTCCTTACTTATTGCCAGTTTCATTCCTCAGAAGTAACTCTCTTATACGTTTCTCTTTGTAATTCTTTTGGTATTTTAACTTTAATATACTTCAATCTTTTATTCTTCATACCAGTCTATTGATTTTCCATTCTGAAAGATAAGACGTTTAATGTCCTTATACTACCATCTACACTTTCCCTCATCTACATCTAATTCTTCATAATATTGTTACTTTTTAAAAACTATTTTAAGTTGTTTCTTCTTGCTGACCTTTTTACTTTAAGTAAAACGTTTAATGCTTCTACTTCATGTTTGCTCAGCATCAGACAGTAACAGGTTATCCCTGCCATGAAAGATGAGGACATTCTCCTGGTTACATTTGTTTCATTTCTCTTGCCCCTGTACTTCCCAGTTTTTGTCTATGATATTATATTTCACTGTCAACTGTTATCACATTTATATTCTGTCCTGTAATATAATCCAGGTATAAGTATTTTGTACAAGGTTGAGACTTAAAAAACAACTGAACAATAATAACATCATGATTATGTAAATATTCATTTTATAACCAAGTGATATGTTTGGACACATAGAAAATATTCTATATTAATTAAGACTTTGCCACCTGGAAGAGAATCTCCCATGTATCACTATGCAGTGAATTCTTTGACTTCGTAGCTTCCTGTATGATTTCCTGAATCAGATTCACCTGCCATGTTTCTTATATCCTCTTTCTTGGGTTCTTTTTTCATATGTCATACTATCTTATTAATTTTCTCAAGTAGTGTGTAAGTGAAAAATCTTTTGCATTCTGGAATATCCAAAAATATATTCGTCCTTGATTGGTGTGGCCGAATATAGAATTGAGGTTCTACCTTTTTCTCTTGACACTTTGAAAGAGTTATTCTGTTTCTTCTGGCTTTTGATTTTGCTAACAAGAAGTCCGATTATAATATAACCAACATTGTAGATATCCTGTGTTTTGTTTTTCCCCTGTCTCTGGAAGCTTTCGGAATTTTATATTTTTAAAGCTGTACAGTCGTACCAGAGCAAGTCTAGGTAAACTTCTTTTAGCCTGAAGATAGTAAATATCCAGTTTAGGGATATTTTCTTCTATTCTGTATTTTTTCCTCCTTTGACTTCTCTCGCATTCCGGAACTTCTATTAGACAAATGACCTGACTATATCTGCCTATAGATTGACTTTATGTTTTGAATTCAGGAATATTCTCTCACTTTGATTTTGTATATCACCAGCCTGATATTCAGCAAGGTCAGTTTTATTATACACTTCATCTACTGAGTTTTTATTTCAGAATTTATCTTTTAAGTTTTCTAATGTCCTTATTTTTTACTTTTCTTAGCATTATAATTATGGATGTTCATAAATCTGTTTGATAATGCGTTATAATTTTTAAAAAAGATTTTGTTTCTATGTTAAACTGTTATCTATGGTCAATTCTCTTTATTTTGGCTTTTTTCTCTTAAGCTGTTAGTTTTCTTCAAATGTCTGGAATTGCATGATTTTATATTAATTATGAGTGAAAGACTATATGTTGGTTATTTTAAATAGCTGACGTGGACTTTATCCACAGTCATGAAAGTCTGTTTCATCAATAGCTATTTTTCTCAGGAAACAAACAATAATAATTTGCGTCAGCATTTTCTCTGTCTTATGGGATCACCTTTGTTTCTGAGTCCATATCTCCCACCCTACTCCAAGAGATACTCTTGGTACTTTGCATACCACTCCCAGTTCTCTGCATGAGAACCTGTCTGCCTCTGGTCACTGGAGACAGCAGGGTCAGTGAAGGATGGAAAGGAAGAAAGAGAAACCTTAGCAATAGAGAGAATTTAGTTTAGGATTCATCAGTTTCATCATCGGAAGGGGGAGGTTTGACATATGCTCTCTTGTGGATTAGTGGTGGCTGCTAGTACTAGTAGATGTTTGGAGGATGACAGCAATGTTTGATGAAGCCATATCTTTTTTTTTCCAAGTTTTTAATTTACAGTGAAGTATTTTTCTGTTGTTTCGTGATTTTTATTTTTATAATCTATATGTTCAAAACTCATGCTAATAATATCTGTGTATTTAAAAGTTATGCTGATACTTTTCACTGTCCATTTGAAATTTATAATTGGTATGAAAAAATAGTGATTAGTTGCTTTATTAGGTGAAATGGGTGAATTTTTTTTTAAACATAATTTTTTTTAAAACATAATTTTAAATGAAGTTTTTCTTAGTTTTCTAGGTTAATTCATTTGACTTAAGAAATATATATGATAGCCAGGAGGCAAGCACAAATAGATAGAGAAATCATGTGAAATGGCACCTATTGTGAATGTTGAAATATTGATCAGTATTTCTTTGGTTTGCTTGTTCTGGTAGAGAAAGGCATTTGAAGAAGAAAGAGCCAGTTGGTTGAAGCAACAGTTTTTAAACATGACTTCCTTTGACCACCAGAACTCAGAAAATGTGAGATTTTTCAGTGCCTTCTCAGGAAGTGAGTACTTCATAAACTCTTTAATCTGAAAATGCATGTAAAATACTGTAAATTATTAATATAAAACTTTGGATAGCACCAGTAAGAGCTTTCTAATGGAAACTACAAAATCAACTTAATATTTTATTTACTATAGTCAAAATGGGAATTATAGGACTGTGCATACCAAAGACAACTTTTGTCATGAGTGTAGTAACGTTGAGTTTTTGAAAATCCACAAAACAAATATTTTTAAAATTAGATCCTTCTATATGTTTGTGGAATCTGTGTAACAAAAATTGTAGGATGAGCTAGACTAGAGGCATAGGGCTGGGGTGGTTATTTAAATTAACTTGTTCTGTCTCATACCTTATTCAGAACTGCAAATGTTTCATCCTGGTTAATTACCTTCACTATACTTAATACCTCACCATATGTCCTGCCCTCCCTGCCTTTTTTAAACAGGTTCTGATCGGGACAATCTTACAGTGCACTCGAGGCCACGACAAAAGAAGCCCCACAGTGTGTCTAACGGGTCTCCAGTTTGCACCTCTAAACTTACTAAATCTCTTCCTGCTTCTCCTTCAACTTCAGACTTTTGCCAGACACGTTCCTGTGTATCTGAACATAGGTATTGGTCATAGATCATCTTCTCATATATCTGTAACATTGCTAGAGTTGCACTGCTAAGGAAAAGTTGGCATGTCTATAGTATTAGCAACCATAGAGACTTTCGAGAGGTTAGTAGATTAATTCATTCATTCTGTAAATATTTATTAGGTATCCGTTAAATATAGACAGCCGTTAGGTGCTGGCAATACAGTAGTGAACAAGGTAGATCTGGTCCCTATCTTCTGGGAGCTAAATGATAAAACGTGTTTCTTTTTATTTTATATCTAAAATATAATTTAAAATATAGCCTTATATGATCAAGTTAATATTTTAAGTGCTTTAATTGTATTAAATAGAAGGATATTGTTTTGACAGTTTTCATAGAGTATATATTTTAAAGTTTCTTTTGGTGTGCCCATTTGATTGGTGGTGTTGGGCAAAGAACTGAGAAAAGCCTGCTCACCTGGACTGCGAAAGCAGATCTATGCCCAAGGATGACACGATGAAAAAGTTGCTCCCCACCCCGCAAGAAACCCATATATTGCTATTAACTGCTGTATTTTCATATTTTGCTCTGTCTCAAGTTATTAAATCATTTTCTAAGGTATATCAGTTCTCTACCTCAGAGCCTATTCCAAGATTAACTTTTGAACTAATCAGATAGAACATTACTAGTGAGATGCAGAGGAATCTAAAAGAGCAAAGCGATACGTTGGAAAGTGTACTGGTGATCTCTTTCCTCTTAATTAAAGTAGGAGACAGTGGCACAAGGGCCTGCCAATTTGGCAGCGCCTTAGAAAGCAGGAGGCAGGCCTGCATCACACTTGACCTGTGGTAGTGAGAAACTAGTGTGGAGTGAAGTGCTGGAAGAAGCCAGCTAGCCCTTGGATCAATAATTGTTGAACAGATGAATCTTAAAACAAAAATATAAAGCTTTTAAAAAGGACAAGACACTCTGATTTATAGTTGACAATAGATGTATGTATAGTTACTTAGGATGCTAAGTAAACACTGGGAGCAAAACAGCTGGGGGAAGAGCCCTCTGGGCAAGTGTAGGGACCCTGAGGGTGGCACACTGGTGTGTTATGTGGATGGCAGGTGTAGTTAATGAGCAAAACCAAGAGGTGTGAGATGAGGATGGGAGATGGGAGGGAGTCACATCCTTTAAGGTCCCGGGTGAGTAGATTGGGGTTAAAACTTTGTTATGTAAAAGTTGAAATACATACAAACGTGGAGGGAATAAGGTCAGGAACCTGTTTACCCATCACCCAGCTTCAGCAATTATCAACTCATGACAATATTATTAATATATAACCACACTCTGCTGCGCTCCCTCACACACACACACACTTGAGAGTGCATTTGTAAAATATTTTAGTCTGTTTGTAGGTCAGATTGTTCTCAGGGTAATGGGAAAACATCAGAGACTTTTAAACAAGAGAGTGAATAAAAATCTAAGGTTTAAAAAGATTACTCTGCTTTTTTATGTGGGGAACAGATTGTAGCAGTCTGTAATGTAAGCCAGGAGATCCAGTTAGGAGGTGTTGAGGTGAGAGATGATGGTAGTTTGGATGAGGGTCATAACCTGAAGATAGAAATGCTCAGATTTAGGTATATACTGGAAGTTAGAGCCAATAGGTTGACTGATGAGTTGAGTATGGGAAATAAAAGTTTATTTAATTTACAAAAAAAAAAAAAATAATAATATAAGCTCAGTGTTTCTTACATAGAATGTTACTGAAACACCTAAATTTGACCAATCAGAATTATGTATATAAATTCTAGCTACCATTTACAAATAATGCATTTTGCATCTAAAAGGTAGTTACCTCAGTTATTTTTACATATTTAAAATTTTTACCTTTTTATATAATTATTTTTAGTTATGAAATATCTGATATAAATATTTTTTGAAGACATTGTGTTGTGTTTAATAAAAAATCCAAACAGTACCTACATCATAGGGTGTTGTGAAATTAAATGTCGATATATGTAAAGCACTTAAAACAGTACTTGGTGTACTGTAAATCTTTAGTAATAGGTTATAAAAATAAAAATACATTTAAACATAAATGGATTATAAAGATGCTTTTGTTTCTTGTATTCTGAGGGCTATACTGTGTATCAGTGGCATAGAAACAGAATTTTGGAGCTTAAACGAATTTCATGAAGCTATTCAGGGATACTGGCCTCTGAAGATAAACTAGGAAAGAGTCATATAACTAGTTAGGAGGAGAGAAGCTGTGCAGCTTGACATAGTTCTTGAAATTTTATATTATTTGGTAAATTTGCTTTTCTGTTTCTGAAGCACCTTAGATCTGAGTTTGTAATAAGATCATAGCAAAATAATTAAGAGTGTTTGTAGCTAATTTTTACAACATCCTCATTGTTCCTTCATTATAGAATGGAATTTTACGTAAAGGCTGTGTCTGGATTCCATGCAAAGTAACTATATACTAAGTTAGAGAATTTAGTTGATCATTAATCTTATCTGAGATGGCAGGGATTCTGAGGGCTGAACTATAAGCAAGTTCTTTTTTATTTTTTAATACAAATTTCTAATTATGGTTTTGGTTTAGATTTTTAGAATTAAAACAACTTAATTTTTTTTCTTAGGATTGTCCTAAGATTGTGTTAGTAAGCCAAAGTCACAGAATATCAACCTTTAGGGAAAAGTTCACCTAAGATACATTCAGTTGATAAAAATGTATTTATTCACTGGCTCAGCCCCAAAGATTTAATAGTAATCATTTAACTAGATTTCTTTGTTTGAGGCTGGTTGCAGAGCAGACCTCTCAGATTTTATCTCTGAAGATAGGATCTGTGTCTGTGTTCTGAAATTGTTACTGTCTGACACAATTAATTGAGCACTGTTGTGCTTCCAGCTGTTAACTCATTTAGTTCCCACCTCAATGCAATGAGGTAGGTATTGTTATTATTTCTGTTTTACAATTGAAGAAGCTGAAGAATAGGGAGATTTAACTTACCACAAGTGACATAGTAAGTGGTCCAGCTGAGGTACGGATAATAAACCATCTGACTCTTAACCACTTGTAGGCACTTATTAAATATCTGTGTGGGTGAATGGATGGGTAGATGAAAGCATGCATGAGCAAATGGACGAGTACTGAAAGAAACCATAAAGAGATTAGAAAATAGTGACAGAAAGATGGGAATATGGGAAGCATTAGCTTTCAAAACCTACATCTTCTCTATCTGCCTTGGGTTTTAGTTGGGCAGCATGCTTTAGTGTACACTAAAGAGATAAAGTAGATGGCTAGATAAAAATTATATTATTTTGAAACACTTCTTTATTCTTCATCAGTGTGTCCTCAAAATTTATTTAGCATAGGACAAGAGAGCAGTCAGCCTTTAGACATTGAAGCCTATCTAAAGTATAAAAGGAAGAGGAGATGATGTTAAGATCTACCTTTCTTTCTCCAACAGTTCAATCAGTGTGCTGAATATAACTCCTGAAGAGACTAAACCAAATCAGGTTGGAAGAGAATGTGCAAATCAGAAATGGAGTGTGGCATCAAGACCTGGATCACAGGAAGGTTGCTATAGCGGATGCTCCTTGACCTACACAAATGCTCATGTAGAAAAAGATGACTTACCTTAGATGTGTGGACTAGAATTTTTTTCATTAACATGTTCATCAGATTTCACATCTGAATTGAAACAGGGTGTGTCATAAAGTCAATCATTTCTAATCTTTAAGATGGTCTGAGTTGTTTGTTTGGACTTCCTATTCCTCCCCCAAAGAGCTAAAATGTTAAATCTATTTAAAAGTATATAAAAGCTTTGGATACGTATTTTTAGTAACAGAAGCATCTGGTTCTGTGAATAAAGGAATGTATCAATGTTTGGATGGAAACAAAAGCACTAGAAGGAGTTTCCTCGTATAGGTATTAAAAATAGCACTTTTAGGAAACTGATTATTGTAAATGTTTTAATTTTGTCCCTTATCTAGTCAGCATTGAAAGTTTAGCCTTTACTTGAATGTATACTGTAGATTTTTAACAAAGCAAGTTCTATATTTATTATGTTTAGTGTGATTTGAAATTTCCTCTTTCATATGTTTTAAATAAAGTGAAATTTATGTATGTTTTGTACATAGATATACATGATTATGTTAAGAGGCTTTAAGATTTAAAAATTTTACACATCCATAATTATAGTATTTCATGCCAATAAAATTTTTATTAGTGGTATTCTGTTTACAGATGTATTAGAGCCATTGCCACATTACGTTTAAGAGTTTATTGAACCCATCTGAGCAATAAATACTCAAAAGCTATTCCATGAAGCCGAATTCTTTAGATAAATAACATTACTAACATTACATTTTTGAGATTTCTACATGATTAGATTTTTTTATAAATGGAGGATGTAATTTTTCAAAGAACTATCAATTATAGAGTAATAGAGGTAAAACAACAAAAGTACCTTTGAATAAAACAATTTAAGAATATTAGCTTATGATATTTAGATAATAGAAGATATTAAGATATTTAAGATATTTAGATGGTGTTATGTTCTTTATCAGATGGTTACCAGTACCATAACAGTTGTACCAGCTAAGGCTTTGTATAGTTGCCAATAATTCTTTAATAATTTTTCAATGAGGTTTTTGCCACTAATGTTAAGGAAGTCTGACAATGTAAAAGCATTGGATTTTATAATCCAGATACACTCTGGACAAACCTGTGTCATTTCATTTTCAGGACCGATTGCATGTTTCTTCATGTATATTGTTATTGATAGTAATAATATATGTAGACCAGGCTCTTTCCAGGATTTTCATCAAAAAGCTCTAAGTGCCTAACCATATTGTCTGTGTACATAGAAGCCTGCACAGATCCAGTCCTTGGTAGCTATTATAGTATAGGCCCATCTGCCTTCCCATTTTCTAGCAGTTCAGTCTCTTACATATATTTACCCTATGTGGCTATTCCATTTATATTTATCATGTTTTAAAAAAAATATTTTTGTCATTCATTCACTATATATAGTATAACTTTTTGGAGTTATGTAGCAGCAGCCATTTTTCAGGGTTAATAGAATATCATTGAGTCTCTTATAAGACATTAATATAACTGCTCATGACAAAGTAACCATATTTGTAGTCTAAAATATCTGGCTCTTGAACAGAAGCCAGTCACTCACTTATTACTTTGGCTTGATGCATGTTCACTTTTTTATGAAAATATTATAAGTGATACATTTCAGAGACAAGCACCATATTCCAAAGGAAGAAACAGCTGGGATATAATTCTTTTGTTATTGAGCAATAATGTCACAGAGAAAAGTGATCAGAAATTTTTAAGTAGCTAATGATACATTTGGCAAGAATTTTTTTTTCAAGAGTTTCCATGAAACAAGCATTGCCAGAAACAAGCATTCTAGTTTTTGCCAGAAACAAGCAGTGTACTAATAATACAGCTGTGTTACAGTCTGATACTTAACCATCATTACATGATGGTACCACAGGGGACTTCAGCTTGAAAATCTTCCTGATAATCTTAAATGTTTTCTTGTTTATCAGTATGTATATGTGAACTACTTTGTACCTCAAGTTTGTTTTTACGTGACATATCCATTTTGAATTTTCAAAGCATAAAAGTGGCAAAGAAAATTTAAAACTTTTATTTCCTACTCTTAAATTTTTGTTATCTTCAATTTATGAAAAAATTTTAATAGAATAATCATGCCAGAAAATTAAGATTAAAATTTAACTTAAATATTCTTGTAGAAGCAATGTAGTAAATGTTTAGATTCACAGAACAGTCTACAGCAAATTATTTTCCTTAATGGTGTAATTAAAACACTATTATTGCTTAGAAAGAGTTTTTGCTTAGAGAGGTTTTGCTGTATGTACTCCCAGAATACTGTGAGCTAGCAAGCCCCTCGTGATTGCCCTGTTGTAAAAATCTTTGAAGTTGTTGCCTAATGTAGATTATGCTCTTATTTCTAGATTGGATTTAAAGTAAGTGTGGGTCTGCTCCTTAGGAACTTTCAATCCAGTCAAAAAAAAATTAGGGTATTGGTCATGGAAATCAAGTAAAAATACTTTTCCCTGTGTTTGTACTTAATTTTTTTTCCAATCGTTTGATAAGCATTTATAAAATATATGCTGTACGTCGGGACCTATTTCTACATTCTAATCAGTAGTTTAGAAGACAGCTAAGCACACTCCCTGCCACTGAGTATCTCTAAGGTGGATGGAAGACCAGCTTTGTAAACCTCAGTTGTAATAACAGTGGTAAATGCTATTCAGTCATTCAGTCTGTTAATACAACTTGGAGTAATTGTCCTGCTCCAGGACTACATAACCACTTCATAATGGTGACCCGACTAGGCTTCCATTCAGTTCAGTCTTTGCATTGTTTCCAAAGGAACTAACATGTAATTAATGTATTTTTATTTTGCTTTGCTGGGTTTCATTTTTATTTTCTACTATCAAAATATTGACTTGCAAAACAGTATAAGATATTCTACCCACAAAAACATGCTTTATTTTCTAATAGACAAAAGCATTTACAAAGCTTTGGGCTAAGTAGATAAAGACAACGAAATAGGTTATTCTAGTCCTTTCTAAATATTATGTTTTTCAGGCTGGGTGTAAAAGTGGTGGGCTGTCGATTAAATTATTTTATTTACATAAAAACTTCCACTTGACTGGTTAAGATTTTTTTTTTAATTTTTAACATTTGCATATAACTGATTTCAGAGGTCTCAGGAGTTGCTGTAATGCCAGTGCCACATAAAGATCCTCCATATTCATATATTTTAGATTCAGGAAAGTTTATACCTAGTATGGTGCTTAACACAATATAAGTAATCATAATATTTGTTAATGAGAAATATAAAATAATGAAGTAAATAGCACATCACTTCGTTGGCGTGAATGGACTATAAATTTCAGGTCGAAATTCTGAAATTCTTTCGCAGGAGCGTAGGAACTTTTGGGGTATAGTTCCAACCCTATCTAGCTTGGTTCCTTGCACAGAGTGTTAGAATAGGCCATGCGACAAAAACCACCTAATTGGTGTACTCGATACAAACGTTTAATTCTTGCCCATGAAATGTCCAGTGTCGGTCCGTCACCATCTTTATGCCATCTGGAGCATGTGCCTTCCAAGATTGTCAAATCTGGGAAAGCAGACTGGAAGATGATGTTGGATATTAAGGACCGGACCAGAAAGAGATGCTTTCTACTTTCATTGCTTTCCCAAGAATTTATGCCTACAGCCCCAGACTAACTACAAAGAAAACTGAGACACATACAAAACATGACTACGTACAAAACATGACTACGTGGTGAGCACTGACAATCTGCTACATAATGTAGCTAGTGCTTGATATTTTATCCATTCAGTTATTTATAAAAATGAGCAAGACAATACTCCCTGAAAGAGATTTGTTGCTGATTATTAAAGGCTTCAAATATTCTTAACTTTTGGAAGGAATGTATTTAAGGCTTCTATAACTTTTTCACATTATGAAGTTTTAAAATATTCAAATGGAGGTTTTACACATTAAAATACAGTGCACAGAACACACATTTTTTTTTATTCAACCCTGAGAATATTAATCCTATTTTTAGAGTTGGTAACAGACTCATTAAGTGACATACCTAAGGTGCTATAACTAGAGAGTAAGTGATAAAAACTTAAAAACCCAGATCTCCTGACTTCTAAATTTCTAACTTATTCCAGACTGCTATAGTGCTGTTTGGTATGGCTTTTTAAGTGAACTTGTTCGATTCTTAACCCATAATCTGCCATCCTATAACCTATACCAAAGATACTGATCATTTGGTTCATGTGCAAGGCTCACCCTTGTTTTGTGGATGGTTGCCATGGCAATCCTATTCAGCTGGACCTCTACCTTTTCAAGATTAGGGCAGTAAGGCTCTAATTGAAATAACTTTTAATAGCAAATATACTCTAGAGGCCACAGAGTAAATCCCAAAATATACCTAGAAGGCCTTTTTCTGCCTTGTCTTGTTCACTCTTGGCAATGTTAGTGTGTGTGTACCCTGCCCGAACACTTGGTTTTGTCCAGTAACCTTTGTAGGTAGTTCATCATGAAAATAAATGTTAAAGTAGTGGAATTAAGTAATGTGTATGAATATTTTTACTCAATTTAAAAAGGAGAACAGCTGCTTGCAGGGCAGCTAAGATTTTCTAGTTTCCCCGATGCATCTGCATTTAGATTTGTTTCTGGTGTGTCGAGATAGTTTTCTTCCTGGTCACAGGGCCCCTTAATTAAAGCAAACCATGCCCCAGCCTAGTGTATTGATTAAAAAAAAGTAGACTTTGCATATTCATGAAAGCACTTAGACTGATGTCCTAGAAACTGCCCTCCATCCCAATTCTTTGGCTCCAATTCTGTGTTATATCTGAAGTTCTAAACTGAGGTAGAAATTGTCCATCTCAGCCAGGGTTGGGGTCAGACACTACTAGTTCTTAGCCCTGACAGCCCTGAAACGTAGTTACTACTTGATTATAATGTTGTAATTAATGTATTTACTCTGAATACCTTGGGATTTTTTTTTCTTCGGTAATTCTCGGTCCAGAACTGATTCTTTCAGAACAAACTTTTTTCCTCTATTTTTTTTTTTTAAATTAGTGAAGAAGTTTAATCAAACGCATTTCACAAGAGTTGCCCATAAGTGTAATGCTTTTACAAAAGTGTCACCTTAAAATTTTTTAGCCTTTATCCTTTACCCATTGCTTTTTCCTTGAAAAGTAACCAATTGGTTGTTTTTGGTAGTTTCATATCTTCTTAAGCGAAAATATTTAATAATTAAATCTCTAAATTATTTGATCCCAGTGAAACCAAACTTTTTCAAAACACACACACACACACACACACACACACACACACACACACACACACACAGTTATTTGTTCTAGGTTTAGTGCCCTAAAGAAAAATAGAAATCCATCAACAACTAGCCACACAAGCCTTGGCATATATCAGTTCTAAGAGAAATGATTTTGATCATTAAAATGCCATGGAAATTTTTAACTGGAATTTGAAAATTCATCTTTGATCCTTTATTTCTAAAATACCATTTGCTCATTACTGTTAAAGGCAAAGATCTAAGGAAATGACTGATACATGCTTTTAATTTAAAATTTATAAATTACTATCCAAACTGAGAAATTTTAGACAGTGAAAGGGACAGCCATTCATAATTAGGCCTGTACCATCAGTGTAAAGTGGGATGAACAGTCACCCTATGTATGACTGCAGGCCTCCAAGTAACCAGAACTCTAATGTGAATTG